GACAAATTAAAATATTTCCCTTAACTTTCTTGGCTCAAGTAAAATTATTATTTATACTGCACTATTATATTCTAACAAATGAAATAAATTCAATTAATTATTATCTCTTAGTTAATTAAAAAAAAATTATCAATTTTTTTTTCTAAATGAAAAATAAATTATCAAATATAGCATTTGCTGTAAAACTTTGTAAATTCAACCACTGTTTACTTGGAAAGTTAAATTTCGATTTAATTACTTATTTTAATTTGATATATACAAAGTTCAACAAACACTTCTCTCTATCTCGACATGTGCAATTCCCCCCCTAGACTTTACCATGCCAAAGTTTTAAACACAAATGGAATTTCCAATTAGTGTAATTAGCCTAATTTAATTATTAAGCAGTCATGTTATAAAAAATGCGTCAAAGGGTTAATTCTAACTTGTGATTCGAAGAAGAAGAAGAAGTGTGCCAAGGGATGAGGGAAAGTTTGCAAATCGAAACTTGGCGAAGACTATTCGAGAAGAGCAAACTTGGCTTCTAGTATATACCTTTTGTCTTGAAATTCATTCTCCTGTATGTATATATATATATATATATATATATATTATATATATAGCGTGGTTGTAGGTTACTTTTCAAACAAATAGGAAAAAATAAAAAAAAAAGAAAGGATGAAGTAGGTGAAGAAAAAAAGACATTAAGAACGAAAGAGGGTTGAAGTGCAGGGTTATCGCGTTTGACCACGATGGACCTAACCCAAGCGATTTCAAGACATTAGTCGACTGAACCTTTTCTCCAAACTACCCCTTACTTGCTTCGCTCTAGTGACCTCTGAATCCCTCCCCTTTTCTTCCCTTCTATTCTGCCATTCCCTTAACTTTACTTCTCATTTCTCTTTCTTCGATCGTCGAGAATCGTAATTCCATCCCTCTTTTCACCTCCCTCCCCCCTTGATCCTTTAGTTTTGTACGTGAGAGCAGGTGCTCTAAAGTACAAGGCGGAAAAAAAACCAAAAACAAAAAAAAAAGTGGTCCTAGTCAGAATAGGGACTATAAGGGAAAAAAAGCACAAAAAAAAGAAATGGACTGCCACGGGTGCGAAGCCGCCTTCGAGTCGACGGCGGAACGAGAGTTTCGCGGAACACATTTTGCCTCTCGAATAAATTGGAGAGAAACGTGAAAGGGGGTAACGGGGAGGGGGGGGGGTTAAAAAGGAGAAAGGGGTTTTTTTTTGCAAGGCGTAAGGACGAGAACAACAGAGCAATAAAGAAAAGGGGTGTCGGGTAACCCCACGACGAGAGGCACTACGTTATTCCTAGCCCGTAACCAAAGAACCTTGTTTCGCTCACGCTTGTATTGTACGAGCTCTTTTTCATGTAAAATGTCAAGTACGAGAATTTTTAAGGTGTAGAATAATAAAATCTTCTTTAATAAGAAATCTCTCTCTCTTTCTCCTTGAAAAGACTTAAGATCTTACAGGATTATTCTAAATCTTAAGAAAGAAGGAAATGTTGCAATATTTTTTTTTACTACTAAAATTCAAAATAAAATTTTCTTTTAGCAAATTATGTTATAAATTTTTAAAGTAATTTAATTTCATTATTTAATAAAGTTAAAGTGCATTAAATAAAATTAGTGAGAATTAATACTAAATCCTTGAATTGAAAATAAATTTTTTGTTAATAAATCTTTCTATACATCATTATTTTAATTAAAACCAGTCTTTATTGTGTCGACTAGAAGGAAAAATTTATAAAACATTTCTCATCACAAAAGTTTTTACAAGCACACAAGGAATTTTTTAAAAAAAAGATAAATTTCATAAATTCTTTAACATTTCATTTAAACTATAAAAACAATTTTTCATATTTTAAATAGAGGTATTAGAAATTTGTTTTAATGTTACTAAAAGTGTTTTAAATAACATTGGCCAATTTCATTTTTTTTATTCAACAATTAAATGAAAAAAAAAAAATAAGGACAATTTAAAATAAAATAAAATTACACATAAAAAAACAAAAGAAATTTACCGGATTCCTAGAAATTAGAGGACGTTATGTGAGATTTTATGGAAGTGAACATTTAAAAGTTTACAACTGATCATAAAGGTTACAAATGATTCCAACACATTGCAAAGGATTGTAAACGTTATATTAAAAGAGTTTCAGAGAATAACGATTATTTGCTAGGCGGAGAGAAAAAAATCATCTCAATAATTATATAAATTATTAACAAATATATAAATATTCTTATAAAAATGATAATTTGGAACAATTATTTTACCTAAGTTTTTTTTTTTTATTAAAAAAATATATATTTATTTTAAGGTAAATTTTCACATTTTAGTTAATTTCTTTTTTTTTTTTGTTTTAATTTAGATAAAAAGTTAAAAAGCGGAGAAACATGAGTGGATTACACGGATAACTAAGTTCATTTTCGAGGAAACTAATCCGGTTAATTAAAAATATTTTCTATCCAAGGACTTTCATAAAAGTTTCAAACAATAACTAGTACAATTAATTTTCATAATTTTAAATTAATAAACAAAATGAATATAAATGAAAGTTTTTTAAAAGACAACTTTTATTAATAAATACGAAGACTATAAAAATTGTAAAAAGTACAAGTATGATTTAAATATTCGTATTATAAAAATATAAAAAAAATTTGTCTGACTAAAACCTTATTTTACTACTAAAACTTCGAAATTAAATTCCCTAATTGTCTTCTGTCTGACTTAAACTGATTTTGACTACTGATTCTCATGGAAGATTTGTCTGACTAAACTTTCTTTTACTACTGACACTAAGGAATTAAACTATTGTGTTATGTCTGACTTTTAACTTCTATCACTAAAAACATTCTAAGAATTCGATATGTCTGACTTTAATTGACTTTTACTACTTACAATTAAGAAATTGGTTAATAAAAATAATATTCATCAATTATTGAAAAACTAAAATTATAAAAATTAAAGATATTGTTATTTTTTTTAAGAATATATATATATATAAAAAAATAAATGAATTCTATACGACTTTTCACATTATTCTCACAGTATATGGTGTGTAAATGATAAACGGTGATAACCGTTACTTCGCCAAGTAATTGGCATTCAGTTGGCAATAAATAATTGTCATTGAAGCGAAGCGCATCAAACTCCGAGTGAAACTTTGAAACCTGGTGCCATCGTGAAATTTCCCAGGTGGCCATCTCGTGGCATGAGAATACCAAAACCCGTTCCCTCCCCCTCAACCATTCCCCCTCTCTTTTACCTCAGAAAACCAGAACTGAAGATCGAAAGGGTGATATGATACGAACACGTACGTGTACATTGCGTTTACGCCATCCCATGTGCCCAAAGCGTGCTTCGAATTCACATAATGCATAAAAAAAAAGGTGAACCCTCCATTTGAAAGAAGATACGAGCGTAAAAGAAAAAAAAAATAAAAAAAGATAAAAGTATCAAGAGCTTGATGTTACTACTGAATCAAAAGGGAAACCTATAAAATATGCACTAAGAAAAAAAGTTTATCAAAACACAAAAAAAAAATGCATTTCTTTGCCAAGAAAAATTTTTTCCTCTTACATTATCTTAATTATATCACAATTTACAGAATCAATAATTTTAATTAAAATTACATTAAATTAAAATCTTAATTAAAATTTTCTTATTCAATTTTTAAAAATTTTTTCATTTTTATTACTATTATTTTTAGATACATATTGTCTCGTAATTTCCAGAGAGAGAGAGGGATATAAGAAGAAAAGTATTTTTTTCGATCATTAATCATTTCAATTACACTAGTTTTCTTAGGAAAGAGAGATAGGAGGAATTTGTGACAGTTATATGCAAAAGTGGATTGAACCAACTAATATAAATCTAAATAAAATTAGAATACAAATGAAATTGTGAGAGGAAACGAGATGTGCGAGATTTAGAAAATGAATGTGCACGGCAAGAATAAATAATACAAGGAAAAATTCTCTATACACGAGATGAGACTACACTGGTGGGAATGAGAGATTTCTAAAATATGAAAAATAAAGTGACAAAGGCTAAATTAAATTGAAATATGCAAAAAAATATTACATGTTTATATACATATAGGTATATAAATTTCTAGCACAAATCTTCTCTTATAACCTTATATATAATTCATATATTAAATTTAATAAAAAAAAAACAAAAATTCTACTCTGAAAAGTTTTTTTAAAAAAATTTTTTTCACAAATTCCCAGAAGGATAAGAAAATTGTCTAAAAGTCATGTTATAAAACAAAATGTAAATTATTAATTAGATGAGTGAGAAATAAGAGAGAAGAAAAAAGGAAATATAAATATAAATAATAGAAGAAAAAAATTGTAATAAACTTTTTTTTTTAATTGTAATTAAATTATTTCGCTATTTTTATTTTTAAGTATTCCATTTTTTAAACCTTTTTTGCGCCAGGTATTTTATAAAATTTCTTTTTTTTTTAATCTGCTATTATTATTTTTAAATATTCAATTTTTTAAACCTTTTTTTGCGCCAGGTATTTTATAAAATTTCCGTTAATTTTATGTACTGCCTCTGTGACGGCAGTCAGCTTTCTGAGAGTCGCGCCTGCGTCGTATCCCCACTCTTCCGTATTTCCCCCACCCTTCGACTAGCAAGTATATATAGACACGCTTACCACTAAATCAAGCAGTTTGACATTAAACTTTTTCTCACTACTGAGTTATCTAATTGAAAATTTCGCTGAACTTTTTTTGTTCATGTCAAATTATTATTTAAAAAAATTAAATAAATTATTATTATTAAAAAAATTAAATAAATAATAGGAGAGAAAATCTTTAATCAACATTTTTTTTTAATTGTAATTAATTTTTTTTTTAATTTAAATTAATTAATTGTAATATAGAGAGTATTGGGTTATATATATGTGATCATTATGTATAACATTTTGCTGAGAATTTCTGAGAATATGATGGAATGAACCCCCTTAGTATCATGTATATGAAAGTGGAATTACCTAGTATCGTTGAACACTTTATCAAGAGCACTCTTGAGGGTTATCTCGTCAAGCTCATCGTATCTCACGATAACTGCAGCACCCCTTGCAGCAGCCACTGCTGCATTATGAAACTGATCTCCATACATTGGAACTATAACCATTGGTAAACCAACATAAACACCTTCCGTTAAACCCAAAAGTCCTCCATGACTCAGATATGCCTTCACGTTTGGATGATCTGAAACAAAAATAAAAACAAGATGAAAATACATCATAATTAATTAAAATTTGCAAACTCTCATTTTAATTGGATGCCAAAAGTAATTAAAGTCAGATTCTCTTCACTCGAGTAATTAAGAACTGTTTCTAATATACTATATATATATATATAAATATAATTATTTTTATTATTACCAATTTTAAAAAATTATAAACAAGATTTTTAATGTCACAGCGGAATTAACAGCACACCGGAAGAAAAAAAATATTTAAATAAGTCAAAAAAGAAAATAAATGTCAAAAGATAAAATTGTAAAAAAAACAAGCACAAAATAAATAATTGAAAATAAATTAAGAATGTTTTGTCGGTCTTCAGCTAATTGGAAATTTTTACGCATTTGAAAAATAGTCTTGTTACTTAAACTTTAATACTTTCATTAATTGTCATGGCTTATCCCGCAAAGCGAGATAGAATTTCTCATTAGTAATCATGATTCATTTGAAAGAACTCAAGAGCAAATAAATTAATCTCTGTCATTATGCATCATTTAATAAAAAAAAAAAATAATCTTTATACAATTATAATCTATTAATTTTTCAAAAAAAAATTTCTTTAACATTTTTCGAATTTGCAAAAAAAAAAATAAAACCCAATTCGTAGAGAATTTTTTCTAGCCAACGATTACCATTTTACCTTAACGAGCCCGAGAGGTACTTTTATACGTTAGCTTAATCCTTTAAGAGGGACGAAAGAAAATCCCGTATCTTTAAAAGCCCCCATAATCCATTTACAGAATTTAACAGTGTGAATAGTCATATCGACTTGAATTTTTATATTTTCATAAAAATGGGTATAATAATTTTAGAAATATTTACTATTTTCAAATTTTACATCCGTATATTTTTCCCGCTTTTATTTTCTCTTAAGATTAAATGCAACCCTCTTTTTCATGCCTATGAGAAATTTTCTTCCTTTCCAAAATTTTTCACCGCTTTCAAGAAATTTTTCCCACAAAATTACAACTCAAAATTGTAGTGAAATCTTTACTAAATCTATTAAAATTTTTCATAATTCCCAATTTCGATGAATACTGCCGTTTATAGCTGGCGCTTATTCTTCAATTGTATAATCTTTAATTTCCAATTAAATTTTACCTACGATTCTTAAATTTGTTAATGTCGCTTTATTTAGTTGTAACTAACAAATTTTATTCCTGAAATTGTATATTTTCCTTAATTTTTCACATTTTCTTACAATTTAATAGAAATAATAACCAAATTAATCCCGAGCTATTGGATGAGAATCCAGGCTCAAAATTGATTCATTAAATTTTAATAATAATAATAATAATGGAAATTTTTCAAAAATTTCTAATTATTAATATTATTTATAATTTATTTATGTTACATTACGTAACATAAAAGTAATTTTGTGAATGAAAAAAAAGAAGAAAAAAGTAATAAAGAGAAAATAAATAAAATATCTTTTTTATTTGATAATTTTATGTGTGATAATAAAATTACTTTTCAAAATCCTGACGTGCGTTTTCTCCCCCAATCAAAATGAACACATGAGGAGATATAATAAAATTTAAGCTTTATATATTATTATATATAGGAGATAGAGAGATGAAGCCAAATTTTGCGTCAGTGTTCAACCCCTAAGGAGTGGATATACATTGATGAAGGATGAAACTAACGAAATCATGCAACCACGTTTTCACTTCATCACCCTTACCCAGTCCCGTAACTTCTCTCGAAACCACCAGCCCCTATTCTAATGTCAAATTCCATTATCGAGCAGACACAATCACCTCATTGCTGATCTCCGGCCACTGTATTTCTCTGTTATCTATTCCCTCCCCAAAAAAAAAACGAATTTTGCATAAATCAAATAAAAAAATTTCCAAATTTCCGGGTTTTTATTTTATGAATACATAAATTTTTTTTTTCCACTTTTCAAACTTTAAAACTGATTTATACTACCGACAACAAAAAATTTTTAATCTACAGTTAAAGAAATTTAATAAATACACAAATGGAAAAATTCACTAACAAAAGAACAAAATTTCAAAAAATACGAAAACTTCATTTATCGCGTAATATTCATGTCGTGCCTCTTTTTCCCCAAGTACAAAGAATAAGTATATGAATAAAAAGAAGAAGAAGAAGAAGAACACTAGAAGAAAAAGGGGCATCGACTTTTCCTCTAAAAAGCGAATCTTTTCTCAACTTCCTTATATTCTGAAAAAAAAAGTTTCCCAATGTCATCCATTCGATGATGAAAAAAAAAATTCTACAAAATTTTCACCAACTATAATCAATAATAATTGACTAAAATCACATTCCAAGTCAGGGAAATATTTTTTCCTAAAACACAATACAAACTAAATTAAATAGATTTTAAAAATGATATAGAAATACATTTCTCGCAAAAAAAATAAATCATTATTTCATTGTAAATTGGATCCTCGAATATCCACAATTCTACAAAATTTATTGAGAAAGTAATTTCGTGTTGACAAGATTGAACATGAACAAGCTGGTAATTGGCCAATTCTATCAAAGCATTCTATCTCGAAGTATTCTCGAACACAATTGGCCAATTACCTGTCTGTGACATCCTTGAAACGGTTACGCTGCTCTCGACAGCATTGACTTCACAAGAAAGATCCGTAATTGACAGATAAATTAACAAAAAAAAATAATAATAATAATAATTTTAATTCAACCCTATTATTATTTATGATCAATTATTCATTTGTTCTAAACTAAACCTAATTTATCAACAATTAACTAAATCATTTTAATTTTTAGGTTATAAATACAATACCAACCTTGTAACATAAAACTATTAGATAATGGCGGTAAATTTAAATCATATTTTAAACTCTGGTAAAAAAAAAGGGGATCCTGTTTTTTTTTTAAATTTTAATCTGTATTCTTACAATAATATAGCAAATTAGTCTTGAATTGAATGTGAAATAACAAACATGATTAAATGGCTAAATTCTCAAATGCATTATATTATTTCAAGTTAGAATTTCCAGTGAAGCTTACAATGCTTTCCTTCTTCCTGTAAGACATTGACTTGAAACTGCCAACTTCTCTTTAGAGTTGCTAACTCCTGTTTAAGCTTACAACAATTATTTCCATATTGTAAAGAGAGGTTCTATGGAACCAGCAACTTAAACACGCTGTTGAACAAGTAACCAATTGCTGTTTTTTAAGTTTACTTATATATATATATATATATTTATATTTTCTTATGAAAGAAAAGAAAAAAAAAGTTTCTCTCCTTTCTTTGTTACTTTACTTATTTATTTTATCCTACTATTTTTTATAATAATATTTTCTAACAGACTAAAACTAACTCAGAAGATGAAAGTTTTTTTTTTTTGAAACGAAATTTTTCTTCTCATGCACTGAAAAAATTTCTTTTTATTTCTTCAATATCAAATATATTTATGCATAAAGTTTATTCTATCTACTAAGAAGCAATCTCATGTAAATTAATTTAATTAATTATGTCCACATCAATCAACTTACAAAATTGAAATCTAATTACATTAGAGAAGATATAGCGTTTGTTGGAAAATTGAATTAATGTCTAAATTGTAATTATCATTATTACCACGGTTTGTAAATTATTAATCATATAAAAGACCGATTGCGAGAGAGTGTTTACTTTCATTGCTCCTTAATAAAAAAAAATTAATTTTTTATAAATATTAAATCAAAATCGGTCCACAAAAATAGTTTGTTTATTCCATGTGATTGTGACTTTTGAGAGGAAAAAGTTTAATAAAACATTTGATCAAAACTTTTCTTTGAGAATGTGTGTTACAATTTCTAATTATCCATCTGCGTATACAGCCCATTTTAAAAGAAACCAAAGGAATGGCTTTCTCTGAAAACTTCTTCAAGCAGCAAGTAATTATCATATTTTTCCAACTGCCGTTAAAAACACCTGGTTTTCTCAAGTAAACTTTGCACTTAAATGAAAACGTTCAAAAAAAAACCCCCGAAAAAGAAATGTCGTAAACGTATATAATTTGACCACTTGATATATATTCCAAGAAGATAAAAGTGGATTTTTCCCTTTTTTTTCAAGGATTCTTTATTTCATCATGAAGGTTTCCAAAGAGAGAGAGAGAAAGAGGACATTTGAAAATTTCTCGAGAAGCTCTTGCATCTTAGAAGTTGTGCATAATGACGCCCGAAAGCGACAACCAGCTGGTGGAGCTATAGTAATAAGTGAGAGAGAGAGAGAGACTGGTTCTTGAGGAGCTGGGCGATGCGATGCAATAAGTTGAGCTTCACAGCAGGGTCGTAGGGAAGTAAGATAATAAAATTAAAACGATCGATCTTAGCTCCCGGCTATACCTGAAGGAGCTAGACGTTGCAGGTACTAGAGTATCCAAAGTGCAAAACTAGGATGAGACATTATCGCTTTGCAGCACTTTAGTCGCGCGACGACGCACGTAACCCACTATACTGTGTGATGCCGTGCTCGAGTGATAACTACAGTTCACTGATGATGGAACGTGCTTTCGAGCTGGATTGTAAGTATTACGATTCTAAGACTCACTTCATACAACAAACAAACTTTAATAAATTCTACATGACGTTGATTTAAAAATGTTATTTTAAATTTGTATCTCCAATTACAGAATTGCGCTTATCGTCGTGCTCAAGACCGACTGGGATGCCTGGGTCCTTAAGGACTATAACTCCCGATCTTAAAATAAGCATATCTACCGCCTAACGAAAGAACTACCGACATGTTGAAACGGCGACGATTTGGCAAGCCGCCTTGCTACCGATATCTCCAACTACAATTTTTTAATATTCCAATACTAATTAGTATTTTTCTAGTTACATATTCAGGTGCTTCAGTTCGAATGGAATGAACGACTGCACCTAGCGCCGCTTCTTATATATCATGTGAGCGTCGCCATGGTGGGGGAAGATTGTCCACGATTGGCCGTACGAGACAGCATGCGCAGTTCAATGCGC